AGTACCCTCCTCTTGCTCCTCCCCTCTAGCCCTACGGTATATATGTTGTAACAGCTTCTGCAATAAACGAGACTTGATCAGAAACCTGTCTTGTCTCCATCTCTCGTGTCCCCTGTCCCCTCTCATCCTCGCTCCCCCTCTAGGGTCTCCGTTGACTTACCCGCGGGCCGGGACAAGCTCTGGTAGACAAAAGTGGCAATTTAATAAATGTTCTCTCTCCCACCTACTGCCATGGCCTCCAGGACCTTAGCCAAAGAAAAGCAAACTTATTTTCCTTTCTGAACATATTCTGGGTTCCTGGTTTCCAACTAGTGCGCTAGGAAAAGGTAGAGCCTTGTGGAGGAACTGGACATGTACTCACGCAGTGCTCAGAAGGAATGGGGGTCTTGTCGGTCTCGGCTCACACTCCACCTGGCCACGCTGGGTCTGCTTCCTTCTGCCCCTGAGCCAAGGCTCCCCGGAGAGTAGATCATCGCTGTATGCCCACAGTGAGCCACTGCCAGAGGACCCGAGAGGACCAGGCAGCTCACGTGGCACTGAGGGTCCTGGGACAGTGCTTGGTCCTCACCACACCCCGGCATCCGCCTCGCATCCACGTCGGGTTCACCTAAGACTACACAGAGCGACTGGCCCCCGGGACCCATCAGGGAAATCAGCTCCACAAACCAGTCACCGCCACTGCCATCTGCAGAGAGAAGTAGGCAGCCCCCTCTGCTGGCTGTGAGCCCTCCACGCTGGAGAAGAACGAGCTCCAGCCCGCAGCGCCCTGGTGCCTGCGTCCAAACCAGGATCTGCTCTCAAGCAGCTCAGGTGGGCAATTTGGAGAGAGTGACTGGACAACTTTTGCCACTTTCTGCAATTTTAGTTAAACCTGCTTCATAGAAAAGATGGGGTTTCAAGCATGTCAGGAAAGCTGCTCATGACCCACACTCCATTATCAGCAGTTTGAGGACAGGAATCTGTCTCCTGGTTTAGTTTAATCCTCAAGATGGGGCTGGCACTCAGAGTAGCTGCTCAGTTAAAATTCCCTGAGTGCTCTTCTCTCTGAACTCAATTTGCATCATGTGTACTTTGGCTCCTGCCTTCCGGGTAACTCGCCATCTTCCCTTTCCCACACCCCCTCCTTCCCAGACGTGGCCAAGCTCCTTTCCAGCAGAAAGCCCCTGACATTGGTCATGCTCACCCACCCCTGGGTGCCAGCCCTCCACCTTCAGAGTTTGCTCCATGGCACCTTGCTTGGCACATTTCCCAAAATGGTTACTGATCGCCTCTGGGGTCTTCTCTAATCAAAGATGGGTGCATTTCTGGAACCATGCAAGGTCTCTAACCCTTTGCTCAGTAAATATGCCTTAGAGATGGAATGTAGGGAAGAAGAACGAGCAGACAGCCGGAAAGGTCGAGCTGGGCTAGGGGCGCCGGACAGGCAGTGCTGGGGTGCGGAGCTGGGAGCAGTGAAACTGCCCGCGACACTCTCCTTCCACGGCCGCAAACAGAGAGGCGGGAACCCGCGGAAGCCACAGACTCTGGAGAGAGAAGGGAGTAGGTTTGTGTCTCCTTTCAGTGTAGCCCTTGAGGCGACAGGGACTTGGCCAAGTGACCCAACCTTGGTTTGCTGTGTCTAGAGGGCCACCATCGTCCTCTCGGGGACGGGCCACCTGTTACCACCCTGCTAGGAAGCTGCAAATAGGAAGCAAGGGACCATGTGAAGGAGCTGGGGCTGAACCTCAGTGTGGCTGTTGTCAGATGCCCTTGCCGAGTCCAGAACCCACAGGATGGGGGCCCGGTGGCGGCGCCTGAGTGGCCAGCGCTAACCCCGAGGATGACAAGGATGATGAAACGGGCTCTGCCCAAGCTGTGCTGGCTTCTCCTCGAGGCTGGGCAGTCATGGAGAAGATACCCCGCCCCTTCGTTTGTCTTCCCTTTTAACAGTTGTGTCGGACACCTACTGTGTGCTGGGAGCGCCTCCCTCCTCCATCGCTGGTACTGCGGAGACAGCACTCCCAACCCTGAGCTGACCCGAGCCCAGGGCTGGTGTCCTAGCGGGGAAGACAGGCGGCAGGAGGCAGGGTGGGGGATGTGGAGGCAGTGAGGGGCAGTGGGTCCACAGCATGGTGCTCACACCGGACGTCTGCATCCTTTTCCGAAGTCTGCTCTCGGGCTCTTGAGCTCACTTGCCAGCGTCAGGGGAGTACCGCCTTCGCTGGCTCTCTGCCGGCCCCCCTTCTGTCCCTCTGGACCCCCGGGGTATAGGGACTTACAAGGCTTCGCCTCATGCAGCAGTGAAGCACAGCAGTGAGGCTGGAGTCACAAGGGCACCGTTCTTCGCAGGAGAAGCTAGGACAGGGCCGAGCTCACTGTGGTGACCGGCAGAGACCCTGCCGGGGAAGGGCTCAGAACCAGGCTCTGCCCCCACAGCGCTAGCGAAGCTTCTTGCAGATCGGAGACTGTGGTCCCCTGGCAGAGTTGGTCCTCCTGACCAGGGTGCTCAGCAGGCACTGCCCAGCTCCGGGGGCTGATGAAAGTTGTACCCCCAGGAGTGAACCGGACATCGTGGAGATAAAGGCTCTATATTTCCCAGCGCTGAGGAAATGCCCAGTGGAGACGAGCAGCATGGCTGGCAAACTGCTGTCTGTGGGTTCAGCCCAGCCCCACTCCTGGGTTTGGAAATGATGTTGTGCCCGCTTGCGGACATGCAGTCCAGAGCTGCCCTTGTACAAGGACAAACTTAAGAGACCATACTGTCCACAAAGCTCAAACTATTTACTATCTGGTGGTTTATGGAAAATAGCTGCTGGGCTTCGGCCTACAGTCACAGGACAGTTTTGCCAGGGTTGGGCTGGGCTCTCTCCCAAGCCAAGGAAAGGTCTCACTGAGACATTAACGCCCCCGTCCGCTCCCGCAGCAGAGATGCATGGACTATACTTCTGGGGCCCACACAGGCTCTCGAAGCAGGTGGATCCCTCCTGCCCCCTTGAGCAGCTATCTTCAGCCCTGCACCTCCCCTGCATTACGTTCAAGATGTGTGCAGTTGACAGACACATCCCGAATTACCTCTCCGGCACAGCTTGACTGCAGGGGGTGAGTTCTGTCTGCCCAGAATTCAAGGCTGTCCTTTGATCTATACCAGCGCCTCTCCAGTTGCAGTTGGATTGGGCTTGAAGGATGACAGATTCCGCTGCCCACTACCAGTGAGGACACTACTGCTAGGCCCTCTAATAATAGGATGGCTGATCATTACCGTATGAATGCATTGAAAAGGCAGTGCTCCTGTTCATTTGTTTGTTTGTTCGCCCATTGAACAATTGTGTTAAAGGCATTATGTGTTGGTTGATAAAGAATTTTTATTGATCCAACCAGAGAAGCAGAACTGGGGTGTATATAAATTTCTTCAGAAAAATGCCTTCTACACATGTGCACACCCTGGGGAAACATTCCCTGGTGCACACTACCTTCCGTCTCTGCGGAGCTCTCGGCGTCTCGAATCCCTGTGGTCTTGAGCACGTGCCTCTGCCTTTCTAGACCTGGATTTCTGCTTCCGAGAAGCATGGCTATGGGAATGGACACCATTCTGCTAAGGGGAAGCCAGGACGGAGCCGAGCACGCGGTGGCAACCCGCAGAGACCCTGACGCCGGGAAGGGCACAGGTCCCAGAGGTCCTGGCGAAGCTTCGTGCTGAGCGGTTACCACTCTCCCCACCAAACAGTTGCCCTTGTGAGTAAACTCACTACTCTTGTCCTGCTCAGTCAGACCCTATGTATCTGTGAGCCCAAAACTCCTCTGCCGCCCCCATGCCTCCTTCTACTTGGCATCCAAACCATCTCTTGACACCAGGGAGCTCTCAGGATGCACACAGCTCTTCAGAGGTGGGAGCCTCACACCCCTCTGAGGGGGCAGAGGCTCATGCATCACCCACACGTGCCTCCTTCCACCTCTCCTTCCACCTGGGCCCACACCCCTCGCCTCCTGTCTACCCTGTGACTCAGATGGAGCAGCGCACCCTCAGAACGGATAGACAATGTTCACAGAAGATGCCTGACTGTGGTGGTTTAGATCTACAATGCCCCAGAATCTCACGTTCAGAGGCGGAGCTCTTGGAAGGTGATGTGGTCATGGGGCCACTGTACCAAGCAGTAGATTAACCCATTGTTGAGCTCATGGCTAAATGTGTGGAGGTAGGGCCCTATTGGAGGAGATGGGGCACTGGATGGTCCCTTTGAAGAGTATCTCTTTCTCCACTTGCCCTTCCTGCTCTCTCTGCTGCCCAGCTGCTGTGACATGACCAGCTGTCCTCCACTGCACCCTTCCACCATGCTAGTTCTGCCTTTGAGCCTGCAGACCATGGACTGAACCCTCTGAGACCATGAGCCCAAATAAACCTTCCATCTTTAAACTGTGTATGTCAGGTACTCAGGTCAAGTGACAGAAAGGTGACTAAAACACTGATAAAGGACTGTCTTCCAAAACAGAAAAAACATGTAATACTCATCAATAAGAAAATAAGCAACCTCATTTAAAAATGGGCCAAAGACCTACATGTGAGAGGAGAGGACCTCTCCAAAGAGTATTTTTAAATGGCAAATAAGCATATGAAAAGATCTTCCACCTCACCAGGAAGTTTCAAATTAAAACAATGAGACACCAGAACACACCTCATAGAAGGGTCAAAACCCACAACACTGGCAACACCAAGTGCTGGAGAGAATGTGGGGCCACAAGGCCTCTTGTCCATCGTTGGTGAGGGTGCAAATGGAAAGGCTGACCTGAAGACAAGTGTGGCACTTCCTCACAGCACTGAGTGTGCTCTGACCTACGATCCAGCAGTCACCCTCCTGGACACAGACCTCAAGGAGCTGAAAATTGTTCAAGCAGGAATCCGTGCATGAACGTTTACAGGAACTTTATTCATAACTGATAAAACTTGAAACTGGTCAAGATGCCCTCGGTGAGTGAATGGATAAAGGAATTGGAATATTATTCAGCGCTGAAAGGAAATGAAGTATTAAGCCATGAAGGGAGGCAGGCCAAACTTACAGCACATTCCAAGTGAGAATGGCTAATGGGGTGTGATGTCATTTCACACTGCGTGACTTTCCCTGCATTCATGACAATGCTGAAAAGGCACAGCCCTGCAGACAGTGCAAGGAGATCGGGGAAGGAGGTGCAGAGCAGGCCCAGAGGACATTTGCGGCCATGCAGCCTTTCCGTGTGTCATTATCCATTTGCCCAAACCCATCAAGTGTGAAATCCGACATACACACGGGCTCCGGCGATAACCACAATGTGTCCATCAGCTGCACACAGGTCCCTCTGGTGGGACACCCAGCTGAAGGCCATCCACAGCCCCGTCACACTCAGTCTCAGACCTGAGCCTCTACCATGGTCCCAGGGCCCTGCCTCAGCTTCCTGTGTCAGCGTCTGCACCTCTTTTCAGGTGCATGGCTCCACCTCTGCCATTTACCCACAGTTCCCTCCGCTGTCCACAAACTGCTCCCACCAGCCCTGTGCAGAGCCTTCCTGGATTGCAGCTTCAGCTGTTCATTCATTCAGCAAATGTTTATTATTCCAGGTACTGAGAAAAGAAAGCAGACTAAAGTCCCTGCCAGCACGGGGCCTGAGTTCTGGTTGGGCATCAGGAAAGCGAGCAGTAAACAAACCCATAAATGCAGATGGTGACGAGCTCTGAGGAGGGAAAGCCAGGTGAAGAGGGGCTGGGTGTGATGCCGCCACAGAGCAGGAGCCAGGGAGCCCTGGAAGGTGATGAGGTGAGGCCTCGGGGAGGAAGGACGCCTGCCTGGTGGGTGTCGGTGGGGAGCAGTGAGTGAGAACCCCTAAGCCCCTGGGATGCCGAGGAGCAGGAGGGAGGTTGGGACAGTCAGAGGCAGAGGCTGCAGGGCCGTGGGGTGTACAGGGCCTTGCTGGGTTCCATTCCAAGTGGGAAACTGTACTTGGACGGCATCGCTCAGGCTGGTGTGTTGAGGCCAGGGCCAGGCTGCAGAGAGACAAGCGCATCGAGAGGAAGGCGAGTTGGGAATTCTTCCCAGTGATCCACATCAGTTCGGGGCAGAGTCATTGTGTTAGTCAGCTTTGCATCACTGTGACAAAATACCTGACATAAACAATTCAAAGGAGGGGTTTATTCTGACTCATGGTCTCAGAGGAGGTCTCAGTCCAGGGCCAGCTGGGGGAGGCAGCACAGCATGGTGGAAGGGTGTGGCAGAGGAAAGCCGCTCAACTCATGGTGGCCAGGAAGTAGAGAGGAAAGAACCCAGAGAAAACGGAAGGGCAGGGAATAAGACATACCCTTCACATGCCTGCCCCAGGGGCCTCCTTCCTCCAGCTGGGCCCCACCTCCTTACAGCCCACTGGGCGCTGAACTCCCTGACAGATTAATCTACCGATGATGTCAGCACCCTTGCGGTCCGGTCACCGCCCTAGGCCTCACTCTCAACACCATGGCACTAGGGGAACAGGAGTCTTTGGGGACCCTTCAACTTCAACTATGACCGAAGTAGAGACCACAGAGTGGCTGACAAAGAGTTGGGTTCTGGATGTATTTTGAAGAGAAAATCTGCAAGACACAGAGATGTACTGGAAATGGAGCATTTAAGAAAGCCAGAGACCCGAGATGCGGCCAAGGCTTTGTCCTGAGCTACAGATGGAATACGTGTGCATTACTAAGACAGGCAGCTGAGGGGAGCAGGAAAGGGGAACGAAACCTGGGGTTTGGGGTATGTGAGGTCACGGGTACCTGTTAAACAGCCAAGTGGAGAAGTCAAGAATGCAGCTTGCTCTACAGATTAGGAGTCTGCAGGAGACTGGGGCACTGCAAGGTTGAGGAGTCACAGATACAGGAATGGAAAAGCTAAGGAGAAGAGGAAAGAAGCTGTTAAGGAGGAGGAAACTGAAAGAGAGGCAGAGACAAAGACAGAGACAGAGACAGAGACTTTCCAGGCTATGTGAAGAAGGCATTTGCTGGGGCTAAGTTAAGCTAGACCAGGACTGAGAGCAGACCTTTGGGCTCCGGAAAGGGGTCGTTAGTAGCCTGCCAAGATTATTTCCTCAGGGTTAGAGTTGGGGTTCACCCTAACCCTAACCCTAACCTCTGCGAGCAGCTTCTTCCTCTTCTCTCACAGTTCTGTACTGACTCCTTAACACAGTTTGTAATTAATTATGTGTTGTGTGTCCATGTGTCTGTCTTCCCCTGGGTCCCCAGCCCACTGATTATGAGCCCTGAGAGGGCAGGACCAGTGTCTACAGCATCCTTCAAGGCCAAACACCGCTGGACCCAGAGTGGGACAATATTTCCTAGATGAGCAAATAAACCAAGGTCCACGTGGGACAACTGTTGTCCACTCATCCACTCTCTCACTTCACGAAAACCCTGGGGACCAGTGTCTGCTGCATCACCAACCAGCACGGGAGAATCTCGCTTCCCCCTGGCCAGGGTCAGTGTCTCTTGCAGACCCCGTGAGTCCTGCCAGGCCTGTCGTCCCATCCCGTAGTTCTGCGATGGTCTCAGCCCTCCTGACTTGAATCCTTAGCGTCCTCAGGGCTTCCCATGGCCTAGGGCTGCCTGGAGTGCCTTCCTGGGCCCCAGCACCTGTGAGCACAGGGTCACACACAAGCTGTGGAACGCAGTGCTCGCGGCTCAAGTCCCTCTGCCCAGCCCTCTCCTGACCACGGCTCAGACCAGGGCTGTGGAGAGAGTATGAGAACAGAGAGGCTCGGGGTGGGGCCTGCAGGATGGGGCAGCGCAGGACAATCCTCAGGACAAAGCGGAGCCACTGGAAGGTCCCCACAGGGCAGGCCTCACCTAAGGAAAGGAAGGTGAGAGTCCCGTAAGGACTAACTTGGCTCGTGAAGGAACTGAGTGCCTGGGGAGCTTAGTAAGTCAGATCTCCAGCCTAGGTGTGAAACCAGCTATAAAAAGTAGTGGAGTTCCACTTGCCCTTCTAAAATCACCCAGCTGCTCCAAAGGGAAGACAGGCAGGGGCCAGCCCGGCCAGCAGTGCAGCCTAGCTACTGACAGCAGCAGTCCATTACCAACCCAAGATGGGCACCCTCGGCCCAGGAAAACCGGCTGACCATCTTAGCACAGAGCAAAAGGACAATTTCTTATGTCTACCCAAGGTACACAAAAATCTTACAGCACTCCTGCCTGCTCTGCACATGGCACTGTAAGTGTGCCTGGATGTTCCGGCCCGCTTACCATCATGGTTTCTTGGCCTTGCTTTGGGCTGAGGCGCATGGACCTGGTTAGCTGAAGGGACCTGGTGTCAGTCTCAGCGGTAAGGAGCAGGCTGGTGGGGAAGGGCCTGTCTGGAGCTGTGCACAGTCTAAGTGAGGTCTGCTCCGGTGCAGGTGGACAGCGACACCTGTGACCACAAAAGAGGGTGAAGTCCAGTCCACCAGCGGAACCCACCCGTAACCTCAGCCTCACTAGCACAGCTGAGGACAGCAAGACTGAGAGAAGAAACTTGACGACGGCCGTCTGCCTCGGCTGTCGGGCTGCCCAGGTCTGGAGCAGGAGCTTGGCGCTGGGTTTGCACACGCGTGAGCTGTGTGCACGTCAGAGTGGTGGTGGGAGACAATGTGTGATTTCTGTCCAGGAAAACTGTGGCCCTCCAAAGCCCGACAGGAAAACCTTGGTGCTGCTCGCACCTGCTGTGAGACTGGGACCCAGTTCCACACACTGCTGGGGCTGTGCGCTGAGTCTGGGTTACAGGCACGCCCAGCCCTCCCCTCCCACGGCTGCCCTATCTCTTACAACTGTGGGAGACAAGGGGAAGCAGGGCCCCAGGAAGAGCCATCTCCTGCCTGGCGGGTGGTCGCCTGACTGTAACCCAAGCCCCCGAGAGGAGTGGCCCCAAGGTGCTCCAAGCGGCTGTAAAACTGCTCCAGTGGCCTCTTTCTGAGTTCCTGGACCTCGGACCACCACCTCGAATTTGGAAACTGAGTCGGGCCCAAACAGGACGAACCACTCTCTGTTCAAGCCAGAAAGTTGGCCAGAGCCGAGAGGCCCTAAACGGCCCATGGATGATGTATTATTGCCTCAGCCCTGGGGTGAACTTGGTCCCCTACGCTGAGCCTCGCCTTTCACACTATTATTCTTAGAGATGTCGTTGCACTCCAGCTTAAACTAAAAATACAACTTCCAGGAACAGCAGAACCTGGCTTTAATTGTGCAGCTTGATACAGATGCCATGTGCTATAATTACATCTGATGGCTTTGTGTACTAGATACCACCGTGGGGAGCAAGGGGCTCGATTTGCTCCAGGCCTGTAGGACTCCCCTGGCTTCTGGGCTAGCGTTGCTCCCTGCAGCCGGTGCTTTGATGCCCTCGATTTGGGGCAAGTCATGTAAGGCAGAAGTGCAGCTCCCAGGAAGGTGTGCAGGGGAAGTCCCCCTTGAAGTGTCTCCCTGCCCACTCCTCCCTCTCGCCCATGGCCAGGGTGCAGCCAGGCGGGAGAAGGGCGTTGCCCCCTGGTCAGTGAGCAGCCAGCTCTTCCGCTGCCCCTCTGCCTCTGACTCCCGGTGAGCTGTCCTGAGTCTGGTTCCTCACTGGAAATCACACAGTACAGGCAGGATGAAGTCTGCACACCTCACACACAGACTGATGAGCACATGGTGTTCTGAGACTCCCTGCCCTGCACCAGCCCCACCACTAGGGGTCCTGCCGAGCACCTGCTCGGGCCACAGGAGGGACACACGGCACAGCCCACAGTGTCAGGCTGACAAAACCAGGTAGGCACAGCACAGTGTGGACACCACGCCGGAACAGAGGTCTCTGCTCACACCCCAGCACTAGCAAGGGAAGCTTCACTCTTGGGACGAATAGGAGCTCCAGCTGGTCCGGGAAGGGTCCTCAGGACAGTGGCCCTCTCTCCACTTAAGGATTAAGGAAGCAGCATCCTGAGGCTCTGCCTCTCAACACCATGGTAACCGGGAATGTTACCCTGGGTTCTACACCTTAGCTTAAGGTGGCCTTCACGAGAGCCCCTGCCTCCTGAGGTGGCGGGATGCTGTGTGAGGTGCACACCTTTGGCACACTGTCACTGGGGCACTCAAGAAATGCTGGCTGGTAATGGCATTGTGGGAAATAAAATTCTGAAAGATCCAAGCATCCCGGCAAAGAGAGGCGTGCGCAGGACAATGTGAGGGCTGCCTGGTGGCCTCACTTGATGGAGTCACAGAGTCTATTCGGGGAAGGCAGGTCCTCTGACATCCTCCAGCTCATCTTGCAGTCACTGCCCTTCACTTGGCCCACAGGGACTCAGGATGGAAATGCCATCGCAACAGCTCACAGTCCCCCAGCCTTCTCTTCCCTGGGGCTTGTTTCTATCTCTGGTTTCAGTAGTTCTCAAGATCACCAGGGGGTTCTGGACATCTGGTGGCCCTCAGACTCATGAAGGTGGTCTGACGGCCCCATCTGCTGATGGGGGCGAGCTTGTTTGCAACACTGCTCTCTGATGAGGAAGGCCCTGAAGGCCTGGCACTCCACTGTCACCTCTGGAATCCACTGCCTTCTCAGAGAGGGGCAGGAGAACCTGGAAGTGAGAGAGTGCGCTCCACAGCAGGGTGGGACAGGCAGAGGGACGCCAGGTCCCAGCTGGGCTCTGAGGACACAGGGCTCGCAAAGGGCCCACCTGGTTTTAAAGAGACCCAACATTTTATGTAAGCAACCCAACATTGCTACACATTGTCATTATTTCTGTCATCTTTCGGGTTCTTTTCAGAGTATATGCTGGCTCGCAACAATATAGGAACCTTCTCATTTACTCATTTTTCCAGAGAGGGTTTGACAGACTTGTGCAAGGCAATCAAAGTCTTCCTCTTCCAGTTTGAGAACAATTGCTTTCCACACCAGAGTGAGGAAAGAGCCGAGGAAGTAGGAAAACAGGAAGCAAAAAGGGGGCATGTCCCCCTGCAGGGTCTGAGCATTGCTGCCCAGAGCCCAGACCACAGTGCCCTCGGGCCCTAGGGGTGTCTGCCCCATGAGGTCTTCTCCTGCCTCTCCACTCCTCTAGCCTCGAGCTTACCCCTGACTGTGGTGGCCGTGGGCTCCGCCCTGGAGACTTCCAGGCTCACCTGGGCTTTCGCAGGCCATGTGCTCTCTGGCCGCTGTGCGTCCCAACAACCAGGTTGGCTAAGGCGGTGGCCCGACAGCTGAGGCCCTGGCCCAGGAGGTGGCCACCCTGTCCCCACGCAGCCTGGCTGGACAGCTGATCCTCCCTAATCCCATCCCGCACCGCCAGCCTGGTCACTTTTCATCCATCTGTGACCTGTGCATCGCTCTCCTGTGGCCGGCTTTATTTTCGAGCCTGTCAACAAGCCTCTGAAAAGGTTGGACACATGTGTGCAGGGTGGGAGGAGGAGGGTGGCCAGTGGTGCACAGCTGGAGGGGCCCCAGGCGGCAGAGACACTGGCCCTCACCGAGCAAGCCTGAGGCCAGGCAGGTGTGGGTGTTCTCCACTGCACCCCCATTGGTAAGGTCCAAGAGCAGTCTTCTCATCCTGGATGGTCCACACTGAACTCTGTTTACCAAGTTCCTCAATAAAGCCACCCCTCAGGAGCCTTTGAGAGAAAACGTTTTTATTTTTATCTTTTTGGACAGAGACAGAAGCCAGCAACAAGCAGGTGGCCACTGTTGCTCAGTTGCCAAGTGGGTGATGCAGTTAAAACAGGAGCCGCGGTCTGTTTGCAGGGCCGGGTTGCTACGTGAAGGTCCCGGCCATGACTCCACTGTTGCTGAATGTTTCCTGGCACACCTGCTCCATGGGAGCTAAAGGGCTCACTCGAGCCTCTCCTTTCCGTGACATGGAGGAGTGGAGGAGCTGCACTCAAAGGCCGGGCCTCTTTCCTGCCCTCTCAGCTTCCACAGTTCAGCCCAGGCCACAAGGGACAGGCAGTGTCTGCATCCTCAGGTGCGCAGGTCCTCTCAGAGCTGCCACAGAAGCCAGACAAAGTGGTTCGCGCCTATAATCCTGGCACCCTGAGAGGCTGAGGCAGGAGGATCACAGGCTCCAGACCAGCCTGAGAAACTGAGTGACTTAGTGAGACCCTAAGCCTCATTACAGTCTCAACATAAAAAATTAGAAGGGCTGAGGATGTAGCTCTGTGCAAAGGCCCTGGGCACAATCCCGGTACTGAAGAAAGAAACAAAAGCAAAGAAAGAAAAAAGGAAAGCCTGACATGGAGCATCCTGATTTTCTTTGAGGCACAGACACTGTGAGGATGCCCACTCCCCATGGGTGGGCAGGGAGACAGCAGAGCAGACACCAGGGCCAGGACAGCAGACGAGACAAGCACACCCGGGGAGGGCCCTTTCTGTAAACACTGACACACTGCAGACATCTCAGTGTACAGGGTGTTAATGAGGACATGGGTGCGGTACTGAGATGGAATAAATATCAGATGCAAGATGTCGAGAAAGCTGCCCAGGAGCAACCTCCCCTCCCCTGGACCCTCGAAGGCATCTCCAGTCTGCTGGCTCAGCAGGGCCAAACGTTCTGTAGTGTTTCGCTGGAATATTATACACATGGAGAAAAGGATGCTCATCACAGCTCAGCACTGCTCACAGATTGAGAAACAGGAAGCCCAGGCAGCACAGAGGCCCACAGGAAGGGAGCTTGGCCTGGGGTGACTCAGTGGTGATTCTCCAACAGTGGCACAGAGCGACTTGCTCTCCTGTGTGCCATGTTCACGTCTGCATCACACTCCTTTCCCAACAGGCTCTGTGCGTGGGAGCTATCACGCCTGCACGTCCCTGCAGGCATCTCCTCCTCCAAAAGGCCTCATTTGTACCTCTGGCCTGAATTCCCTCAGATGTGGTGCTGTGGGTAGAGAGGGAGCTGCTGTGTTTGAGGCATTACACAGAGCGTGTCCCCATCCGCTCCCCACGTGGCTGTGATGAAGCTACAGACACAGCTGTGTTACATGCACACCTGCACCTTGCAGCAGTCGATGGGGCCGTAGGATGTGTGTGTGTGTGTGTGTGTGTGTGTGCGCGCGTGTGCGTGTCTTAGTAAACACCACTCCCCGGAGTTTCAGGGCAGCTGTGACACTGGCAACCCCACCAGCAATGGTGAGCGTCGTCCTGGCTGCTCCAGACCGCTGCCAACACCTGCCATTTCCTGCCTCCATTTTACCCAGACCTGGATGGTCAATTCCTGGCCTGAGACAATGTGTGCCCAAAGTGACTCCAGGGAATGTGGCTGCCAGAGGGCAAGAGGACAGCCTGAGAGACCTGAAGGGTTTCACTCAAGGACACCAAAAGGCCACCTGCAGCCAGCAAGCTCATGCACATGGGGCAGTGTGGGGCTGCTGCAGCTGCGACTGAGCACCCTGCAAGCTTCCGTGTGAGCCTGCTGGGACACCGGGCATTGGCATGAGCAGTAGCCGCACCCTTGTTGTTCATAATATTTTAATTTTATTTGTATCACCATGATCTGGGCCCAGGTAGGGGCGTCTTCAGCCTCCCTGTCTTGGCGAAACCTCAGATCCTCACCTGCTAGGGGCCAAGTTCATAACCACTGTTGTATCCCTCCAACTGACCTCACAAGTCCACTCCAATTCCTGTTATCCCCAGGGGTGAGGAGGGCAGTGTGCACAATAAAAATTGAAAAGGTCGCTATGTCTTTGCTTGTGATGGGGAAAGAGAAGGGAGAAAAGAAAGAGGATTTTTTTTTCCAGCTTCTTTACACCCATGTTGGCCTCCTCCTCTTGTTCCAGAGGAGCAGAGCATTCACCCCCAAGCCTGACTCTAGCTGTCTGTATGGGTGGACCTGTCACCTGAGCACCTCTGCTGGGAGACAAGGTGCACAGCCGGTCAGCCCCACCCAACCTCTCCTCGTCTTTCCCACCATTGTCTTCCTAAGAGACTGAGGGATACGAGGAAACCAGGTCACTAAGCAAAGGAAATTCATTCGGGGAATTTTCAGCAAACATGCTACTATGGTTTATATCTAGATGTCCCCCAAGACCATCATACGCACATGGGCAGGCTTGGGAAAGGTGGCTGAATTTTGGGGCTCATGGCTGACTTGTTGCTGGGAGGTGGGGTCTGGTTGGAGGAGGCAGCTGCTGTAGGAGTG